GGCTGTACTGTAATGGCTAAAGACATTTAACAACAAAGTTTCCGAAAAAAGTTCACTAGTCCACTAGATTGATAGCTCACTAGTCAACTAGATTGATAGCTGACTAGTCGACTAGTTTGATAGCTCACTAGTGGACTAGATTGATAGCTCACTAGTCAACTAGATTGATAGCTCACTAGTCGACTAGATTGATAGCTCACTAGTCCACTAGATTGATAGCCCAGGACTAGAATTTTGCTATTTCTAAAGTTTCTAGTAGACTAGAATTCTCTAATCGAAGGTTTTTAGGTCAAAAGTTAAAGGAAAACTTCTTAAAACGTACCTAAATCATCAATCATTTCATTTTATCCTACGATTTATCCCTCCAATGTCAGCAGGGTTACTTGGGCAAGAATTTGCGATTTGAAATGCGGAACGCTCGGCAATCAGAACTCGGATGTTGTCCTTTGCCAGTAAGTGAAACGGAAATATTTCCCGAATTCACGACCCAGTTCATAATTGATCAAAGGCTTGATAAACACTTGATCACTTTTTTTTTGCAGAAGCTCCTACGACGGCACGATTCAAAGCTGCCGATACAACAGCGGAAGATCACAGGTGGGGATCGATCTGATCTTTCTGATCGATTGAATATCAAGAACAACAATTTTTCTAGGCAAATTATTAGAATCCAGAATAGATTAGGGTAAATTATGAATTTTTGAAGGATCTAAAATGAATTTTTGTCTATTATCTGATGCCTGGGTTTTAAGTTATAGTGAAAAAGTTTAAGTTCTTTATCTCATCATTTCTAAAGGCTCTTTCTCAAAACCCAGTCATCAGATTGAGTACAAAATAGTAATCTTTTTAATAAAGATCATACTAAAAATATCAGAAAGATCTATGGTTTGGCTTTTGTAGAGTAGGAAGGAGAGGAAGGAGAAGGCTAAAATTGTAGAGGAAGGAGAGGCTGATCTAATATGGTTGATCTAATATGGCTGATCTAATATGACTGATCTAATATGACTGATCTAATATGACTGATCTACTTATTGACTGACCTGACCTTTCAGGTGCAAAGCTGCACAGTTTGCTCGAACTACAACACGACGAGCAACACGTGCACCGACTATGCTGGACCCATTGATGACAGGGTGAGTGGAGAAATGAGTCAACCTGTGGTCAGCCATTCTAGCGTACATTTGAACGCTGTACATGTGGTTTCATATAGTTGGAAGCTTTATCATGAAATCCTATCTACTGTATATGTTACGTCCAATCTAGAAATCCGTCCAATCTAGAGTGAAGTGAGATTAAACGTCCGATCTAGTATCAAGCCGATCACTCTAAATCTAAGTCTTGATTGGACGTCTGATTTAGAGTGATCGGCTTGATTCTAGATCGAACGCTTGACCTCACTTCACTCTAAATCAAACGTCCGATCCAGAATCCGATCCAGAATCAGTCTAGATCGAATGTTACATATATAAAAGAGCATTGTCTGTCTGCCTGTCTGTCTGCACAGGCATTTCCTCGGCCTTGTTTTGACTATTAAAGCTAAACTTCTTTAGAAAACCTTAGAATCTATTGTAGTTGTAACATTTTAAAAATTAAAGAATAAAAGTGGGGTGAAAGAGCTGAATCGAACCGGACGGTGTGGGTCGTAGACAAGCGCGCCCACGACCGCGCCACTTTGACACAAAGGCGATTGTAGAGGAAGAGGAGGAGATCCTCTTAACACCAGAAAACCTGGTGTTAAGAGGATTTTTCGGCTGGTGTTAGATAGAATTCAGTCCCTAGCTGTTAAATAACTGTTTTTTCCAGAATTTGGTCAAACACGCCTACCGAACGTGGACAATCGTGCTGGGAGTTTTGCTGGGATTGGCCTTGTTGCTCATCCTCTGCCTCATCATCGCTTACATCATGTGAGAGTTCGCAGTGTTTAGAAAAAAAGAGTTTGAATACTGTAATGTATTAATTGTATGGCAAAGGCAAATGCAAAGGCAAAGGCAAAGGCAAATAGAAATAACAAAGAGAGAAAAACGTTTCATATATTCATAGGCGTTTCATTGATCGCTCAGTATAGCCAAAGATGTCAAAGATAATCAAAAATATCACCAAAAACATAATTCCAGTCTCCGCAATCGTGAACAAGAGGAATACGATCAAGCACCATCCGTCTACAAGCCACCAGCCACCACGACAGGCACAACAAACGGACACACCGCCTACAATAGTGGGACAACGGCGAGAAGAGATTCGGATAACGAATGGGCATCACCGGCTAGACAGCCATTGATCGATCGAGGACATGATGTGAGTGAGAGAAAGTTTTGAGAGAAAAAAAAGGATTAATTATTTGGTACACTACACTATTTGGGGAGATCGAGCGGGGCTATAAAACACTTTGCTTTTTGCATGAACATTCTTGAATTGCATTTACACGTCCGTATCACAATGAGAAAATCGGAAAGCAAATTTAAGCACTAGAGCCCGTCAAATAGTTCTGGCTCCACTAAAAAGCTGTGTTTTAAAACAAAAAAAAAAACGTAGAGGAACCTATTTTAAGCATTATATGTAGCTTCGAAAAACTGTAATTTCAGGACGTTTATCGTACTACAACCACGACGCACACTCAACAGCGACAGGAGCACGCCGTTTAAAGGATTTGATTCTCAGACTTTACTTTCTCTCTAGTCTCTCAGTGTGAAGCTTTCGTAATTTTGTAAAACCAAGTATGCTACTACTCTTCTCGATTCTACTTTGCTAGATTGCTAGAGTACATTCTAGTGGTACTGAAGTGTTGTAGCTCGAAAAACAAATGTCTTCTTTCCATTCCAGAACTTGATTCATGATAAGTTTACTCCAAGAGAAGTACCGTATAACACTTAATAATTTTTCCCCTTCTAAAGAAATCCTTTCTTTCAGAGATCTAATCTCTTTGTTACGATAAATCCTCTTTAATAAGAAGCTGTACGTTTGTTAGACTACACTTAACTGCCATCATTAATTCCATCGTATCGTTGTTTAATCCTTCTTTAATTCACCATGACCTCATTCCATTGTGCCTACGCATTCATTCATTGCAGTTTGTATTGTCATTGCTTTTTCATTTTGTTCGGTTTGGCCAAAACTTTTTCATCATATCGGCTCAACAATAAATTATAATTTCCAGAAAAATAACAATTTAGAAGGCAACCGTTTATGAAACAAACAGAAAGTGTGGGGTCTACTTGCAGAAAAAAATAAATACCTCACAAGAAACTACCCAACCAGTCCCCAACACACAAGAAGATACACAGCTAGAAGACCCGTAAGGGGCGATCATTGAGAAGTGAGGGAGCACGCCTAGGGGCTATGGGGTTACAAAAGGAAGAAAATATCAGAGAAAAACCCCGTAACAAAAGAAAAACGATAGCACACCTCGATGGAAATGTGATCGGGAAAAGATACACATATGGAGCACACATCACAGAAAATTTGACAAGTCCATGAATAGCTAGAGGGCTTATGGAATCAACAAATACGAATGGGGTTTAGAGTTCGGTGTGTTTTCCCTCAGCCTCTTCATCATCTGCTTCCTCCTCGGCGTCTCCAGCTCCGGCCTTCACACCCGATTCGAGGAATTTGGAGAATCCTTCGGAGAGTTCGGTCACTCAGTGTAGTCGACAACTTTGTTTGAGCTGCTGGGAAGAACTTTGGGATCGGAAGGATTGGACCTTCACATCCTCAATCTAAACAAGGTCAATTAATAAATGTTTCACGATAGTGATTGCTCAAGTACTCTCTTCTTTCAGTATCCTTAATCTATGATATTGATTTGCTTTAAAAAACAAACGTTACCTCGTTACAGTGGAGTCCATCTTGGCGATGGACAATGTTCTCTATGATCAGCGTATTTTCCAAGTTTGTCCCAAGTTGGCACCAATTGCTTGCAGTGTCCGCACCCTAAAGTTAAATTTATGCATATGTATTATAGTTACAGTATTTGGAGTTTATCATGTGCAAGTTAAGATTTGAACTTAAATAAATGTCCAATTTAAATACGAACCATGGGGGCATAGAACTCGACGAGCACATTCTTGGTGTTGTCACGGGCGACTTGATCAAAGTTCTTTCCGACGAGCACCTAAAGATCCAAAGTTAGTGTTTAAATTGATTAAAATCTGGTAAGAACTTAACTTGTCAATGTCTAGAATAATCTATTCTAATCAAATTAAATATATATGCTACCTGACTGGCGACTTGTCCCAACCTCGGGGATCTCTCCTCCGACATCAAGTGAGCTCTTCAATGATCCGTCCAAGTACGATTGGGTGAACTTGACAAAGTTCTCGCTGGTGAGTTCCACGAAGTCTGGCTTGTACTTGGTCATGTCTTCTTCCAACGAGATGATTCGACGGCTGGGCGCTCATCCCTTCTTGAGTCCGGAAGAACTCCATGATACGAGCGTTGTCCTCAACATCGGTGCTGATGTACACGAAGAGAAACCAAAAATAAAGAGTATGAATGTGCCTGTTTAAATCATCGCAACTACTTCACTGTTAATTTATTTCAAACATAGAAATGTATGTTCATTTGGTCTTATTAATTACTAAATAAGTAGACTAAAACATCATAAAATATTGCTTTACCTTGCTCTGGAATTGTTTATAGCAGCTTTGAACTCTCCTCGGTCTTTTGAACTCGGACGATTCCCTTGAGATGAAGAGCAAGTTGTGCGATTTGATTTCTCCTCCGAAGATGACTGAAGCAGTTTCTTGAGTGAATTCAGAGACGAGTGGGAGGCGGTTGGTTTGATCCAGCTCTTGAGTGTGTCGGCCTTCAACTAAAAAAAATAAAAGTTATTCCCTGAATCAATAATGTTCCGTTTTGTTATTACTGGAACAAAGAGCAGTACCTCCTCAACAAAGACAGCCTTTCCATCGCTTCCGAATTTCTTGAGAAGAACGACTCCCTCCCTTCAGCTCGAGCTCCTTCTTGACAGAGTCATCAGGTAGAGATTCCGGAATGGCACATCATCGATTCCGGCAGTCAACCTCGAGGAAAGCCTTGGCCTTCTCGTTATCGGCAGCCTAAATCAAAAATCAAATTCTTGAAAAAGCTTTTGAACTCAATCAAATGTAGAACGTTTAGTGGCAAAAATCTATAAGTCAATATAAAAAATGACCTTGAAGTATCCAACAACAACGACGTCAGCGGAGTCGGTCAAGTCCTTCAACTCATCAGCCGAGGCAAGGGTCGGCAACTGGTCCGGTCTTCTTCTTTGAGCCATCCAATGATCGAAGCAGAGTCACGTCCGCCTCCGTATTCGGTGGCTTTGCTGTTGCCGGAAGAGCTTGAGTGTTGGCAGCCGCGGACTTCGAACTCGAAGTGACATCTCCGTGCACGGTGGCGTCCAATTTTCCAAGTCTGATGGCGGATCCCTCGTCCTTCAATTGAGTGGCGGCCTAAAAAGAAAAGTTAGAGTTGGAGATGATCAGAACATATTTCCAACTTTAGTTGGCACCAATACAATATTATGCTCTTCTTATCTATTGGTTCGTTTAGCTAAAGTTGGTTTGAGGTGATTTAACCTTTATCCTTTAGAAAGGTTAAAGTCTTAAATCGTGCATTTAGTCAAAGCTAACAAAGTCAAAGCTAAACTAACACTTTCAAAGCTCAATTTAGCTCAACTTTACTTGATCTACAGTAACCAGCTTAATGATAAATCTTAACAATTAGATTTTAAGCCAACAATAAGTTTAAGCAATACCTTGGCGTATTCGGGAGCGAGAGACCTGCAGTGTCCGCACCATGGAGCGTAGAATTCGACGACACGAACCGGTGATCTCACGACATCATCGAAGTTGTCCTAAATGAAAAAGCATTCAATAAGCTAAAGATGGTATAGAAACGTTAGCTCAAAAACTTGAAATCACCAACAAACCTTTGTGAGAACGATAACACTCTCTTCTTCTTCGAATTTCGCCGAGGCGAAGACTCCAATGGCGAGCAGGGCGCAAAAGGTGACCGTTTTGAGCATGTTGGTTGCTAAAGAAATAAAATTAGTACGTAAAAACATTTAATGAAGGCAAAACAGAAAGAAATCGGAGAAATAGCGAAAGATTTCAATTAGAAGGGACAATTTTACAAAAGAAAAAATTTTTCCGATTTTCGTGAATCAGCGTCAAATATTTAATCGGAAAGCTGAAAATTCAAAATTTGTGATAATTTTTGAGTATAAAAGCGTATCATCTACGCATAATTTTTTAGCGACAAGAGAATATTTTTCCTTTTACAGTTTTCCTGAAAGTTTTGGTTTTAAATGGAAAAAACACTTGTTGAATACTTTAAAATCTCTCGTTTTAAGCGCAAAATTGAAAATTTCTAAAATTTAAGGTTAAAAGTTAAAGCTAAAAGCAATCTGGCACTTAAAAGATCTAATTTCTTATCCAAAAGAGTTCAATTGGATCAAAAGAAAGATGAGAAGATGAAAGAAAGATGATTTGAAAGAAAGTAAGCTTTTGTGTGTACAGTTTTTTTCAACGATCATAGAGAGGTGACGGCGGTGCCGTGAGGAGCAAGAGATGGGAGAAGACAAGAAGGAAAACTATCCTGAAGGCACAAAAAGGATTGCGGGTGAGAATCTGTGTGGACCCCTCCTCGCTATGTAGAGACGCGTCAGCTTAGGCTCTCGCAGCCCGACCTTGCCCCTGCCTCTCTTTCATTGCAAAAGAGTTGAGACGATCCGCCCCTTTTCCCCCCGCCCATTGGTCCACGCCGATTTAACCTACTCGCAACGCGGCCGCCCCGCAACTTCCAACGCGATGCCCTGGAATACATGGGATTCTCCATTTTTTTTGCCCACATCTTAGACCGCAAGACAATGATGATCGAGAGAAATTGAAAGACCCAGAAAGGGAGAACTGGTAAGCCGACGTGGGAATAAGCGGTTTATGATAGGGAATGACTAAATTTCGTTGACCAAATGCAAGAATAGAAGATTGGGAATAATGGGCTAGGAAAGATGCGCCTCCTGTTTATAAATAGAGAAAGCAACGTGTACAAGAAGTGTGGGTAAACAATGTGGGTGTTTAAAGATAATGATGTAATGGTGAAAGCCATCACTCACTCCAATTCGCATAACTTACTTGAATTTCTTCAAGGTAAAGTCCTTACAAGAACAGTCCTTACTTTAAAACAAGGAAACCTTTAGAAATCTAAAAATGTTTCGCTTTGAAAGCTCGATGAATCTCTCAAAATTGAAAGTCATTGTATAGAATCGAAGCGGATTTCATCTAGATCCAGGGGCTGGGGTGAGCTCAGCTGTCTCCCCTTTTCACACACCCACAACAATGACCTCCCTATTATCCCGTATACTTGAAAAGTTGTGTGAATCGCTTTTCTCTATATAGCAGAAAAAAAAAGATGGGGAAACGGTTTCAAAATTGCTAATTTAAAAGGACTTTGAGGGAAATCAAAACTGTTTTAGAATTCAAAACATTTTTGACTGTTTCTAGACTTGAGTAAGGTATTATTGAAATGAGCACTGATCGTATTTGTTACTTATTTATTATTTATTTGTTATTTATTTATTATTTACGATGTACTAAAGGATACTAAAGGAACTAACAAATTTAATCTACGCTTTTAAAAAGTACAGTATACCTTAGTTTTTAAGAGTTTTCACCAGTCCGCAACAGTTTACCAGTCAATCTCCCATCTCTGAACAATAGCGGAGTTCTAGATCAAGTTTTGCGCTAGAAAATAAGCCTGATTCTAGATATTTTGAAAAGTTATTAGACAAATATCAAAAAGTGAAAAAATGACTAAATGCAATAACTAGGGCATCATTTGTGGAGTGGTGACAGTCTGACGCTTCTCTTTCCCTTTCTGTTCCCAAAGAGGCGACCTTTCTCAAGCAGGTCAATGTCAATATCTAAACGGTCAAAAGAGGGCCGATATTGGGGGTTAGTGAAGGAACTAAACGATTGGGAATTTGGTACCGAGTACCTTCACTAGATCTAGATCAATGAACAGATTGGATTCGATCTAGATCAATGAATCGATTCGATCTATATCAATGAATAGAAAATCTTGGATATGATCCAATTGATTGACAAGATTGGATAATTTTTGAAGACTCTCAATAAATTCATCGATAAATCGACTAGTAACTAGATCGATCAAAGCAAATCAAATCCAATCGATCAAAGCAAAAATCAAAAATCCAATCGATCAAAAGCAAATCAAATCCAATCGACTAAAGCCAATCGACCAAAGCCAATCGATTTCCCAAATAAGCCATAAGCCAAACAGCTATTTTAATCCTTTTCCTCCAAAGTTTATTCCTTTTCTTATCATTACGTGGAATTGAACAAAAACGCTTTGAATGTCGAAAAGGAAAATAGAAAGAAAAGTCTCGAAGCCAATTTCCATGACGAAATAACCGGTTCAATTTCCCCGAGCTCAAACTCAAAGCTTTTGTTTTTTGTTTTATTTCGATAAAAGCCATTCAAGAGAAAAGGATCAGAAATTCTTCCAATCTTTAAATGTTCTAATATTATATATTCAGGATCTTTCTTTGCATTGAGATGAAATCATTAGAGCAATTCTCGAAGAGAACGCTAATGTACTTTTATCTACCAGGGATTCTATGAGAATAATCTGGAAAATAAGTAATCAAATAAGTAACCAAATAAGTAACCAAATAAGTAATCAAATAAGTAATCAAATAAGTAATCAGAACATAAATAATCTGGAATAATGATTCTAAATAATCATTCAGGGTTCTTAAAACAAAAATTTTGCGGTGTTAACTTGGTCCCAAAGTTATCCTTGACTACTAGATCTTTAGAGAGCAAAATCTTCCAGAACAAAAAACAAAATAACTAATCCTATAACTATAACTAACCCAACATCATTTTTTACATTCTAAAGAAGATACACAGCTCTACACACTCAAAGAAGATTCTAAAGAAGAGTCTAAAGAGGAGTCTAAAGAAGATTCTAAAGAAGAGTCTAAAGAAGATTCTAAAGAAGATTGTAAAGAAGATTCTAAAGAAGATTCTAAAGAAGATTCTAAGAAGATTCTAAACAAGAAGAAGATTCAAATAATTCTGCTAAACATCGATTTTAATCTTACAAATAATATTCTTATTAGATCTTCCAGCAAAGCTTTTTTATTGCAACTTACAATTAGCTGACATCTTTATTTACGTTTTACGACATCTTTGACAAGCTTTATTTACGATTAGCTAAATTTTAAGTAAGGCTAACTTTTAAGCTAACTTCTATGTTAACTTTTTAACAAATACATTAAACTAGCACAAATACATTAAGCTAGCACAAATATATTAAGCTAGAATTTTACTAATCAGATTGACAGCCCGGATTCAGTTTAGATTTACCCATTTCATAATCTTTCTTTTAAAACTCACTTTTCATTGGGGACATGTTCATAGAAAAGAAAAGTCGCGAATTCACGTAAAAAAACGAAAGAAAAAAAAGAGCAAGGACTGGGGTTAAAACAGCGGTGAACAGACGGTAAAAGAGAAGGAATCTGGGTCGCCTTTGGGGGTCACTCAACGCTTTTTACACAACAGTCACCCCTTTACTCTTCCCCATTTACCCTTTCCGCAGAAATCTGTTCGCGGGCACTTCCCTGCTTTTTCCCTTATCTCGCACTAGCTTCAGAAATATCGCGAATCCGTTTTCGTTGCAAAAAAAGCGAATCTCCTAATGAAAATTGTGTCAAGGAGATTTCGGTTAAAAGAGTTGATTGATGAAATGATCGAGAAACGAATTGACAAATATTGACTTGATTAGGACTTGATTAGGCAAGGGAATATTGTTGGATATAGGGATTAGACATAAAGCATGACAAACAAGACACAAAATGATCAAAAACATGACACAAAATGTTAAAGCTTGTATCTGACGATAAAGTTTTGCACTTGTACAGCAACAAGAGCTCGATATATCTACAAATTTGGAAATCTGATGTAATTTAGTTTTTAGAAATGAATGATTATTGATATCCTTAGTGAATCGCTATTACCGTATTTTCTGTAATAGTAGTGCAGTCTGTAATAGTAGTCAGGCTGGAGGGGGTTGAAAAATAGTAGTGCGCACTACTATTAAAGAAAATACGGTATATTTTCTTTTGGCTTTTGAATTGTGATTTGGGATTTTGAATTCTGCAATAGCTTTTAGATTTGTCTAGCATTTTTGAGCTAAATTGAACTTTACGATCCAAAAAGGTCGAAGTTTTTCGTTTCAAAATTATTCCCTTCGGGGGTGGGACAAATGCGACCTTTTTGCGCACCTGGACATTTGCGCACCTTTTTGCTGGAAAAGGCCTTCAGGAAAAGTCGTAGAGCTAGAAAACCTTTTCATAGAAGGGAATCGTATGGTAGATTCCGAATTTCGACAAATCAGACCTCGCTGACACGTCAAATTTGGGCTAAAGGCAAAAACTACGCAACTTAACGCTTTTCCGCAGTTTTTGCCTTTTAGCCCAAATTTGACGTGTCAGCGAGGTCTGATTTGTCGAAATTCGGAATCTACGCATACGATTCCCTTCTATGAAAAGGTTTTCGAAGCTCTACGACTTTTCCTAAGGCCTTTTCAGCAAACAAAAAAGGTCGCACAAATGTCCAGGTCGCAAAAAAAAAGCCGCATTTGTCCCACCCTTCCCTTCATTATTTTTGTGTTTTTTTACGCATAACTAGACATAGTAAAGCATAAAAACTAATTTTGAATGTATTTTTGCTCTTCAGAAAGTTTAATTTGGCCCATTTATGTTTTAAGAAATCATTTAATCTTCCAAAAATGGATCTTCCAAAAATTTATGCCAAAAAGCATAATAAAATGGCGATTTCGTTGATCATTCTTTCTTGTCTTCTTTCTCAATTTCTCCCATATCTCCTCCTTCATAAATCGTATCAAATGAATCGATCGATTCCTAAATAACTTTCTAGATTGTTATCTTTTATTGGGTTGTCCAGTTATGAGTGCGCGTTTTTCAACTATTTTGTAAATTTCTCAAGATATCAAACAGATGTATATGAGTGTTATATATCATTCGAAAGCTGAACATCTCCTCTACACTTTGGAATAAAAAGTTTTGAATTTATTCAACTTTTTGGGAAATTGACTGCACAAAGGGAGAAGTCGTTTTCGAAAAAACCCATTTCAGCTTAGCTATTCCTCAAGTTTTATGGGTGTAAAAGAACCGAAAAGAAAAGTAAAGATGCTCTGAAATTGTTATATTTTTAAAAAAGTTGTATTGATATATCTATTGGCCAAACAGCAACGGTTAACTCAATTTGATTGGAGCCAAAACTTGATCCAAAGGCACCTTTCCATTTTTTGGCCACCTCTTCTTCTGTGCAGTCAATTTTGCCCAAAAAGCTGAACAAATTCAAAAACTTTTGATATCAAAATGTAGAGGAGATCTTCAGCTTTCGAATAATACTCACATATATCTTTTTCTTGATTTGGGTATCTTGAGAAATAAAAAACGCGCATTCATAACTGGACAACCCAATAGATTGTTATCTTCTAGATTGTTAGATAAAGAGTTTACATCAAATTCTTTACTCCTTTAATCAAATCTAGATCCATAGACCTGTGGAATAGGGTGAGCCATTGGTTTCTTTGTCGGTGAGAAAGTTGACATCGAAGTGGGATAGGAGGATTGGACGTAACTGAGATTTGTGAGAATTTTGGCAAAAGATTTAGAGATGTCCTTCTGTTATAAGCATCTATTCGTAATCTTTCTCTTCTACAGATAATCTAAATGGATACACAGCGTATTTGTAAAGCACTTAAAAAAGCTTTACTATTTGTTTATAGTTTTTAGTTCAATATGCACAGCTACATACGATCAAATCTCGATTTCACGATTCGCTCGGGACGATAAATTTCGATTTAAACTTTAAGAAATTTCGATTTCGATTCAACGATTCTAAAAATTTGTCCCAAATTCCTTGCGTAGCTGCCCTGAACGGTCAACGATTGGCTGTTGGACAACGATTGGCCAACGATTGGCTGGGCAGCTACGGAAAAACCAAAGCCGTGTTTTAGAATTTCAAAATCGTTTTATCGAGAGTCGTTAAATCGAGCCAGGCTATGCACGGACAGAACCAGATCAAGCCAAGCAAGTCTGGCTTCTAACTTCTAACGTACTTTTGATTCTTCAGGCCGTAGTAGGACCAGAAAAGTGCCTGACTTCTGGTCTGACTAGGAAAAAATGGTTTTAGAACAACTCTGGCTGCCAAAGCCAAAGTACCCATTTCTGTTCTCACTTAAAGTTCGGATCACTTGACGGGGGAAAGCTATCGAATCCATCATTTTCCTCTCCATTGCTCGGCTTGTACGGGGGCATCCAAATTCCCGATTGTACACTTCGTTTTCGAAAGGTTTTTCTGTGAGAAAAAGATTTGACTTTCAACTTACTTGCGATAAAAAACGATTCCCAGCACCATGATCACCAAAATGATCAAAATGGCTGCACTGATTGCAATGATTTGCCAGAATTGACTCTGTAATTGAGCGATCATTTTGGACGCTCGTTTTTAAACGCTAATAGTTTAAAGGTTTATCAAAAGTTAATTCTTTACTTTCCAGGACTTTACCTGGATTTTTTCTATGACATCACAAAGATCATACGTGGGATTTCCATCAATATCCGTACCATTCACAGTCTAAATTTAAGTCAAAGTCCGGGGAGTGGGACAAATGCGACCTTTTTTTTGCGCACCCGGACATTTGCGCACCTTTTTTTCCGCGTCTAGCCCATTAGCGCACCTTTTTTCGCGTTTTAAAAAAGCTCTAAAAGCTAATATTAACCAATTTCTATTCCAAAAGTTGTTTTTCTAGGTAATTTTAGGGTGTCGAATTCAAGTTTGACATAACAGAGCGTGTGGAACCAATTTGAAAGACAAAACGGCTAGGCTAGGTCAAATTACAGAAAATTGTTGATTTTTCTCTTTGTATAACTCCGTCCGTTCGCTTCCACAAGCTCTGATATGCCAAAATTTCGATTCTACGCCCTCAAATTACCTAGAAAATCAACTTTGGAATAGAAATTGGTTATTAACTTTTAGAGCTTTGCACTTTTAGAGCAAAAAACGCGAAAAAGGTGCGCTAATGGGCTAGGTCGGAAAAAGGGGCATCAGGTGCGCAAAATGCGGGTGCGCAAAAAAAGGTCGCATTTGTCCCACTCCCCCAAGTCCCTATAAATAGAATGTGTTCCTTCCAAATCAAATCGTTCAAATCATGCTTTCTAAAAGGTGCTCGTTAGCAAAGTCATTTTCTCTGCGCATTCCATAAAAGCGCCCTTTCCTAAACGTTCTTTTTTGCGCTTTTCTTTTATTATTTCTAAAAGTTTTACTTCTTTTTTCTATCCTTATAGGAATTTTATAGTTTTAAACAAATATTTATTTTTAGAAACAACAAAGAAGGGAAGAAAATGGTCGACTAAAGGAAGAAAACGGTCAACTAAAGGAAGAAGACGATCAACGTTCCAGGAAAGTTTTTTTTCTGTATATTTTCGGTATTTGAAAAATCTGCCGGGGTTAATTGATTTTCTTTAGTAAAAGAACGTAAGAAAGAAGACGAAAAGGAAAAGACGAAATGAAAGAAACTTCAAGAGACAAGTCAACAACGAAAGAAAGGTGAGCATTTTTTTTAATTCCATAAAGCCTAATTCCGTTTCCTTCATAAGTTGTGAAGGAAACGGATTTTTCCGACACTAATTATTACTCTAAAATAACACTATCCTGTTATAAATCCCTGTTTTATGTACCCAATTTAGACTACTTTAAAATCATGTACTTAGATTAAGTTTGAGAAATGTTTAGGCTATAGTTTTGGTTCAAGCGTAGACGAGATGTGCATAAAATCCCCATTCCAATTGATCTAACCATTTTCGATTTATAATATTGTTTTATCTACTTGATGTATATGTTTATCGAATCTAATCTAATCTAATCTAATCTAATCTAATCTAATCGAATCTATCGAATCTCCAAAACTATAGCCTAAACATGTCTTAGATTTAATGTAAATACATGATTTTAAAGTTTTCTAAATTGGGTGCATAAAACGGGTGTGGATATATTAGATTGGCAACTTGAAAGTTGGCACACTTATTCATTGCACTTTTTAGAAATAACTAGGCTAAAGAATTGGCTAAAATTTGTCTAGCAATCTAACACCGCCACTAGATTACAGCGTCTTTACATATATTAGTTTTACAGGCCGCCTTGGATATCTATTAGATTGGCAACTTGAAAATTGGTACACTTATTCATTGCCCTTTTTAGAAATAACTAATGCACCAGTTGGCCTACAGTTTTTACCAATAAAAAGGCCCATTTATTCTCTAGAACAGGCTTTTAAGATTTAGAAACAGATTTAGAAAAGCTTCAGTTTTGTGAGTTTCTAGGGGGAAAGAAGTTGAGGAACCAAAAATGATGAACACTCGATGAAGCGATTTGAGCACTTTCTTCTACACCTATTCTAGTGTCAATAAAAAAAAGAGAGAGCATAACAAGTTAGATAAAGAGCGAAATTTTTAGCTAGATATAATCAATTGTTTTTGTTTTAGTTCCATTTGAAGGCATTTTCAGAAAAACTTGAATTTCTGCTCAAAATCGTTTCAAAAGTTACCCAAATTTGCTTAAGCATGTCTGAAATTAGATAATATTTAACTTTTATTTATAGAAGTCTAATTCAATTGGCGTATTAAATATGTTTTATGGAAAATACGAAAAAGTGTACCAACTTTCAAGTTGCCAATCTAATATAATATCTAAATATATCTAATATAATCTAATATAACAGGATAGTACCCTAAAAATTGTAGATTTGATTGTCAGATGTTAGCTTTATTTAAACTTTGCCAAAACTCACCCGTCCATCAATACATTCAGTGGCAATGATGGTGAAGAAATCTCCATCCGTTGTAGTTGATGTCGCATTCTAAAGTCATACTAACTTGAGTACTAAATTATATTATACTAGAATATATTGATATTATTGTGATAGACTAGTTTCTAGCAGATTTATTTCTAATTGCAATTACTTTCTAGGTAAGACAAGGACAGAAGTGACACAGAATTACGGAGAATGCTTCATATATAGATACTATAGAAATCTCACCCGTAATGTACCAAATATTATACATCATTTGAAAGCTTGAAGTCTCCTTTAAATAAATATATCAATAAGATTTACTTGGACACTTTTTCTTTTTGCGTTGAGTTGGTTTATGCTCGCCGACTCCGACACTGCCTAGAGCCGCTGCTGTTTTTGGCTAAGGGCTTAAATAAAATTTATAGATTTTCGAAATTTGGGTTTCTAATCTTTGATATGGTTGTATTTTAATGTAAATTTTATGAATTTCAACAATGATTGTTGCCTATTCTTCAAAAAAAATTGTTTTTGCGGGTTTTATCGAAGGGTATTTTTCACGATGCTAAAAATTGTAAAAAAGCCGATTTCAGGAATCTCATATTTGAAAAAATAACGCTCAGAATTTGAAATTTTTATGCTTTTTCCATAGTTTCTAAAAACTTATCAAAGATTAGAAACCCAAATTTCGAAAATCTATAAATTTTATTTAAGCCCTTAGCCAAAAACAGCAGCGGCTCTAGGCAGTGTCGGAGTGGGCGAGCATAAACCAACTCAACGCAAAAAGAAAAAGTGTCCAAGTAAATCTTATTGATATATTTAGGATCTGTATATGAAGCATTCTCCGTAATTCTGTGTCACTTCTGCCCTTGCCTTGCCTAGAAAGTAATTGTAATTAGAAATAAATCTGCTAGAAACTAGTCTAGAAAGCATTCAGGTGCCTCCATAATTCTGTGCCACCCTGTAAGGCCAAATCCAGATCTGCCGACTACCGACCCTGGTCTTAGTTTGGAATATTTCTAAATCCAACCTCATTTTTCGGCGTTGTATCCATTAATAACCCTTTAAATCAAAAGTTGAAATCGTTTTCCTAAAATCGATGCTTCAAAACTTTTCTGTTTCACTTTTCTTTTCTTGAATCATCAAACGTTTTTCTAAAAGAAACAAATATCGTTTTGAGGCGATTTTTCAAGAGTTTTGTAAACGAAAATGGATTTATTTAAAGTAAATGAGAAAAGTGATTGATTGAAACAAATACATACAACAAACAAATTCAAGGAAACAAATTTGAAACAGAAATTCATCAGAGAAAAGAAAATTTTTGTTGTTTTTCGGTTTTGAATCACCGCTTTTCTGCAACAAAATTGGCTTAAACACAAGGCTTCTGGCGGCATTGGATTTGAGTATCAGCTTAGTATCAGCTTCTGTGCCAGAAGTCTAGCGTTTACAAGAAAAGTGTAAAAAATACGTTGAGCACTAGACTTGCTTATCAGTCAAACTTAGTGCAGATAATGATAAAGAAGCTATAAATACTAAAATACTAATGTTTTTTTAGCTTATCTGTCTTATCTGTGATTTCTATTTTGCACTGATTTCACTGATAAGTCCAATCATAACAAAATTTGAGCATTTCTTGAGAAATTTCTCATTTAAAATCTTTCTGAAGATGAAATGGCAATAGCCGGTCTTGCCTCGTAGATTCCATCGACGCGATGGTCACGAGGATCTCTCTAGAAATTTTTGATTAAAAGATTTATATTAGGTTGGCCTATAAGTCTTTGAAAAAGCTATTTAGCTATTTGAAAAGCTATTTAGAAATAAACAAATCATCGATTGATCTACGGATTGCTCCATTAGAAAAGTCTACTATTTTTCTACAAAATAGCATTCAAATTTTATGAAAAAATTTTTTTCTCGGGTTTTTTATGGGCCCCCGAAGTCGGGTAGTCAAAAAAAGCGACAATCCGAACACGCGATTTAGGCATTTTAGTCCACAGAAACCTATGTTGATGTCATTAGATGAAAATAAAGAGCAAAAAGTTTAGTATATAACCAAATTTTCAGAACAATCTGTTCAGCCGATTTATTTGTAGAGCTTTTCATCGAATTTTTCTTTTCCTAAAACGTCTTTGCTAATGAATTGAAAGTAACATCTTGTTCTTCATTACGTTTTCTAAAAATTGTTCTTTTCAGAGTGAAATCACAATTGGATCTGCGACCAGCCAGGGTTCGAATCTCACAGGATGGCAAATCGGTGATGAAGATTTGGCTTTTGCTTTTGGTTTTGCTTTTGCTTTTGCCTCACCAGAAAGTTTCAAGAGCAATCAAGCGTCACAAAGAGACTGGGAAATTGGAAGATCGATCAGGACGCGGCCAAACGAAGACTGCCAACAATCCAATCAATTGTCGAAAGATCAACTCAAAGAAACCCGAGATCACAGAAAAACTCCACCCGAAAGATGACTGCTGCAATTGGAATCTTGGAATTTGGATCAATTTGGAATCTCAAAGACCACAGTGCACCGAACTCTCAAAAAACACGGAATGAAGGCACGTCCGATTACATCTTTTGAAGGCAAAAGATGTAATTGGACATTGCTTAAACGATCAGATGAAGCAAAAGAGAGTGGACCGTTGCAAGAAACTTTTCGTAAACATTTTCGATTTAGAGTCAATTGTAGATCAATTGGTAAGTTTGTCATTTATAAACGCTAATAGAAAAAAAAGTGTTCAAAGACTTGTCGGTCAACCTACCGTAAATACTGTACTAGCACCCCACCCTCATAATGACGGTGCGGAGCGTTGCGTAGTCTAGCTTTGAACGAGTTTTTCTCGACACTGGTTTTTGCTACAATGCGCGCTTAGGTATCAAAAAATAGCTGAAATTCAGGGCTATCTTTTGATACTAAAGACGCATTTTTTGAAAGTAGGGGCGCTTTGAAAAAAATGAAATACTAAAAACTTTTGCGACTACGCGACTGTACGAGGGGAGGGTGGGGTACTATTACAGTATTTACGGTAATAGTATTGACAAAAATTCTATCAGTTTCTAGAAAATTGTTTTAACCAACCGTATAAAAAACACTGTCTGGTGAGGTGCGACGCTCGATTGGATCCGCCTGACGACGACGATTCTCAGCCAAAGAGATGTGACTGGAATGTTTAGCGGTAATGAATGGTCAGTAGACTTGCTTATTTGATGGTCCTATCCGATATATCCTAATAAAGTTCATTGAAAGCTATTCATTGAATAGCTTTCAAAAGCTATTCAATGGTTTTGCCAGGTCTGACTTGGCAAAACTGGGCCCCAAGAAGCCAGGCCTGGACCTGACTTGCTCTGGTCTTTGATCAGAGATCTCTGATCTCTCATAAAGCCGATCTAAACATCCTTGTGGATAGCCGAACTAAACATCCTTGTAACAATTGTAAGTTGATTTTGTTTCAAACCTTTGTGGTATCGGGATTTGATCGGTCTCCGTGTCGGTCACTTTTTGTTCATAGGAGAATGCATGTGGCTGGGTGACAATGAATCGACCGATCTGTTGTTGCTTCTTGCGGCGTTCTCTAAAGCAATTGTTTGACTTTAAAAGAAGAGCTAAGATAGCGAGGATCTAGAAATCTCTTTTGAATTTTCAATTGAAACTAAATAACTTACTAAATGAATACTTTTTAGCCCAACATCTTTTATAGAAAGACTAGGGTAACTTTAACAAGTAAAACTGTCTTTTAGCAAGTAAAACAAGAAAAGACAACAGCTCTATCTTATTTCCATAGACTTTATTCAGCTAAATCTCTTACTTGACATAATTTAGAAAAACCAAGACGATGAGAATGATGAGAACAATGATGAAGAGTACGAGGAAAATCCAGACCCAGGGTGAAGAAATGCACTAGAATTTCATAAATCAAAATCAATTTTGAAGAGCAAAACTATTTTTGGCTTACTAATTCGTAATATTTAACAATTCAGCTAAACAAAATGCTTTAAAAGCCGCACACTTAGGCAACTCACTTACCAGATTTGGCATCAGATTAAGCTGTTAGAAAGTTTTAAAATGTTTTGGGTTGGTGAATTGAAAACTGCCGGCTATTGTTATATGTGACAGTTTGAGCACTTTCTTCAAAAGAAACCCATTTTGGTGTCAATGGAAAAGTTGTAGAGAATCAAAAATCAAGCTTATAGCCAAATCTTCAGAACGATTCAAAAACTGGTTTTCAAGAAATGCCAAATTTACGTTGCCAAATTAAATTTTTCACAAAACTTGCATTTTAAGCGAAACTACTAAGTGTATCTTTTTGTAGCGAAACTACTAAGCTCAAACTCACCCTATCTGGTACACTGAATTCTTGATTTTTCTCTAACTATCGAATACCCAAAGTAAATCGATTGAAGATATTCAATAAAAACTCACATGTTCAAAAGCATTCTTTAATCCACCGGGGCAGTTACCTAGAGTTAGTTTAAAGTAAAAAAGCTCTTGATCTTTGCATTCTTCAAGCACTCACCAGTCGCATCACATTTCCCGTTGCACTAAAGTTTAAAATGAAATAAAGTTAAGCAAACGAATTCTCACATTACTCGGGCAATTCTTTTGACAGAGAAGTCCATAATATCCCTCAGCACACGATTGAATCACCGTCAGTTGTTTCACTATTCTGAATTCTTTTATCAATCACAAGTTTACTTGAGATGTTTGTGAGATGTTTCGTTTATTGTTTTGGCAACATTTTGGCAACAAACCATTGGCAACGTTTTGGCAACAAACCATTGCCAGTCAAAAGTCTCTGGCTAGAGGTTTTCTAAAGCAAGAAACCCGCGGTTTTCTCGTTAGTGGTTTGCGGACCGCATAGGATTCTGCAGTAGGAAAGTAGGAGTTCCTTTTTGCTTCAAAATATTTCTATTATATAGTAAAAAACGCAAAATGTCGACCCAAAGCGGATTCGAACCCTCGATCCATCGCACTCCGTGCTAGGGCGCTAACCACTCGGCCAGCTCTTCATCTTTCGATGGACATTTCAAGGGGTAGGTATAAAGACCGTTCCAGAAAAGCTCGATCCTGCTAGGGCTCTGACAGACTGACATTTCGAAAAATTATAGATTAGATGTGATGCTTTAAAGCAATACTTCAAAGAAAGTACACAAAGAAAGTACACAAAGAAAGTACAGATTGAACTCACACATGTTTATTGCTCTCTTCTTGAGTGTATGAGACTTTCTCATCAAATTTTCCCGCTTCTTTTGCCATTTGAAAGGAAAGACTCGGCAACGATTCATCAGATCCATTCCCATATGCATAGTATTGGATCGTACTTTTCATTTCGATTCTCAGCGTTGTTTCATTCTTTTGCTGAAATGTCTTTGCTAATGACTTGAAAGTAACACCTTTGCTTGTTCTCCATTACGTTTTCTAAGACATTTTCGTTTTCTCAAGCTACCAGAATCTTGGGTAAGTAGTGAATAAACTAGAGACAAGAAACGGAATTTTTTGAGAGCTGAGAGTGTTTAGAAAACGCAGCTAATCGCTTTTCAAGCATAAATCCCGTTTTTCTAAACAAAAACTTCAAAAACTGACCACAAGTTGCTCATAAATCCACTTCGAGACTTCATTATCAAATCGAATAAAAAGTTCTCCATGACGTGCGAGATTCTCACAATTGAAGAGAATCGATCTCTCGATTCCGAAAACTGAAAAACTTTGAGGATTTGAAAAAGTTGAGCTTGACAAGAAGTTGAGCTTGACAAACTTGATGCATTGATGTAAAGAAGGGCACAAATTTCAGGCCTCTCTTTCAGCTTGAGTTCGAAATTGGTGAACTCGAATTGAGTTCTTATCGTGCCTTGATTTTGGAAAGATTTTGCTGATGTTCTGTTTATTTCTGCAGCCTGAAAATAGTGGTTTTAGCAAAGTCACCCTTTCTTTTAGGGTTTTAAAGAGAACTTGATGTGGCTAAGTTTTCGAACTTGATGTGGCTAATTGTAAAAGAAACTGCGAGTCATATAAACCATGATACAACAAATGTATAATAAAGATGATTCGGGTTGATTTGTCTTTCTATTAGGTTGGTGAATTGAAAACTGCGGGACTTTGAACTAAAATTTATTCAACATAAAACCATAAATTGATTCCAAATAATTTCCATTATTATTGATGACTTCTGCCCATTTTATAGGCAAGTTGCGGATTCCTCTTTCGTAGTAGGATTTTGGTTTGTGTGTGAGACAAGTGTGAGACTCAAAAATCGAGGACTGGAGATGGAAACTGGAGATCCCAGTTTGAGCATTTTCTTCAAAAGAAACCCATTTTGGTGTCAATAGAAAAGTTGTAGAGAATCAAAAATGAGGCTTATAGCCAAATTTCCAAAAAGATACACTTAGTAGTTTCGCTTAAAATGCAAGTTTTGTGAAAATTCGTAAATTTGGCATTTCTTGAAAACCAGTTTTTGAATCGTTCTGAAAATTTGGCTATAAGCTTGATTTTTGATTCTCTACAACTTTTCCATTGACACCAAAATGGGTTTCTTTTGAAGAAAGTGCTCAAACTGTCACATATGACAATAGCCGGCAGTTTTCAATTCATCAACCCAATAAAAGAAACTGGGAGTCATATAAACCATGATACAAAAACTGTAAGTAAAGATGATCCGGGTTGATTTGTATTTCTAGAAACCCCAATATTTTCTCTTTTTAACGATCTGAAAAGAATTTTACGAAGATTTTTGGATTTCCTTTTGGAAGACCAGTGGAATTTTCAAAAAAGGTACCAAAAATGATTTCCGATTAAAGATTAGATTGAACAGTTTCCGATTAAAGCAGCAATTTACAATTAGCTAGCTTAAAAATCGGCTAATTGTGAGCAAATTTGAATAGAAAAGCAACGCTTTTGAGTAAAATTTGTTATGATTGTTTCATCTTGCATTGTTTAAACAACAGCTTATTCGGTTTTTAGCAGTATGATTAAAGTTTAAGAAACCGTAATCATATTTTTTTTACGACTTTTCAAATGCAATAAAGTAAAGCCAGGCCAGGCAAGCTAGATTCCGGTTGATTGGCCTGATTGGCCTCCTTTTAGGCCTGATTGGTTTCAGAGAAAGTTTCTGCATCGGCCAAAAGCTAGACCCAGACCTGGCTGGCTTGAACTGGCATATTTTTGGCTTAGCTTACGAGGTGGCCCCCCAGCTTACGAGGTATTTTCTCTAATAGTAGTGCACCCGGAGCGTCGCCTAAATTGCTCGAAATCTCAAGAACCGCTTATCAGAACCTATCGATGTGGGGTCGGAAAATGTAGCTGCCGAAAAAATCTATTGGGGTTTTTTGGTTTTTGGTTTGGGGGGGGGGGGGGGGGGGGAAAGGTGGTCAACTCGCCCCGCCGGGGGGGCTTTTTTTAAAAGATGGGGGGAGGGGGGGGGGGTTGTGGGGAAAAGGGGAAAAAAAAAGGGGTGACAAAAAAAAAGAGGGAAAGGAAAAAAAAAAAAGGAGGGGGAAAAATTAAATATATAATATAGCTGACGATGAGATCTAGTGGGGGATTTGAGTGTTGAGCTTCTGGGAAAACTTTGGATGCCGTAAAATAGTCATCAACTCGGCTCGCCCGGGTGCACTACTATTAGAGAAAATACGGTACTACAGTAAGAATATAGCAAGCTAATCCCAGACATACTTTGACGTGTTAGACCCTTACCTCGACGCGTGCACCAAGTAGAATAGACAGCAAACAGAAAAGTCTCAACGGTTTCATGTCAAGCAAAATAGTGAGATTTTACTACTGATCGACAAAAAGATTGTTGTAAAATGGGTGCGCTTTTTCTTTTTCTCCTTTTCTCATCAAAAATTTTGTGATTTTCTTTTAGATGAGCCATCCCTTACGAGGGAAGTCGCCGATTATTCACCCGTCAAAATACACACCGAAAAGGCAACAGAAGAAAACGATAGACGCCCGTCGAATGGCAATAATTTAGTACAATCAGTGCTGGGCAAATGATGGCAAAAGAATGTCAATAGAATGGCTAAAAAATAGCAAAAGAATGTCAATAGAATAGCAAAAGAATAGCAAAAGAATAGGAAAAGAATAGCAATAGAAATGTCAGCTTTCTTTGAGAAAACGAAAGAGTTGTAGTCAATTGTAAGCATTAGCAATAGCAATTAGCAATATTGATACAAAAGAGAACACACAAAACAACACAGAAAAGAGAGGAAAAGCTTGAAGATCTCGAATCTGTCCCAATATTGGCACAAATTCTACATCTTTTTAAGCCATTGTGGCGCTTAAACAGTAGCTAAATTGAGAGAACATTGCCCACCGAAAAGCAGGTCCAGTCTGAGAACAAATCTCACAAAAGTCCACTTTTAAGTTCAACTTTTAATAAGATAATGATCATAATGAAAGTTCTTAACAATCACTATAATATTTCATTTTTCATATAGTGCCAGTACAAATAGTGCTAGAAGTATTTATTTGCAAAAGAAATCATTTGAATTTGAAAGTAGCTGCGTTGGTGATGGCGAAGAGGTCGTCAAGTTGCTTTAGTGCCTGAAAAATGTCTTTTTCTTTTGTGTTTTTGATTTGTGCTCACATTGTTTCTTAGAGTGTGTTCTTTCCGAGTAAATAATTACTCGAATAAAATTTGCCATTTTTACTCGATTAACGTTTGAGTCATTTTTACTCGATTAACGTTTTTTCGACGTTTTTTCGCCGAGTAACTACGAGAAATCCTCTTTACGGTTCCAATATGGTTCCAATATGGTTCCAATATGGTTTCAATATGGTTCCAATATCTGGTTCCAATATCTGGTTCCAATATGGTTCCAATATGGTTCCAATATGGTTCCAATGGTTTAAATATGGTTTCAATATGGTTCCAATATGGTTCGAATATATTGAATATCTTTACTTGTGAAGGGAATTTGCCACCAAATCCCTTAAACAGTTGAATATCTTTAAAAGGAATCGTATATAACTGAGTGCTCGTGATTTTTTTGCGTCAAATTGGGGGTGGGACAAATGCGACCTTTTTTTTGCGCACCTGGACATTTTTGCGCACCTTTTTTTTGCTGGAAAAGGCCTTAGGAAAGGTCGTAGAGCTTCGAAAATGTTTCCATACTAAGGAATCGTATGCGTAGATTCCTAATTACGACAAATGAAAGCAAATCAGACCTCGCTGACACGTTACATTTGAGCTAAAAGACAAAAACTACGCAACTTAACGCTTTTCCCCAGTTTTTGTCTTTTAGCCCAAATTTGACGTGTCAGCGAGGTCTGATTTGTCGAAATTCGGAATCTACGCATACGATTCCCCAGTATGGAAACATTTTCGAAGCTCTACGACCTTTCCTAAGGCCTCTTCCAGCAAAAAAAGGTGCGCAAATGTCCAGGTGCGCAAAAAAAAGGTCGCATTTGTCCCACCCCCGTCAAATTTCTTTGCGTCAATTTTTTTCCAATAATTCCCGCCAAAAGTACGGTAATTTCTCCCAAGTGTGCGTTTTAAAAAACGTATTACTCGCCGGGAACACACTCTATTCTTTCTGGTGCACTGGTCATGCTATTTCTCTCAGTGTAACGGAAAACTTTCATTTCATGAACCCAACCTCTTTGAAAGCAGCCTCAAATGTCAATCTATCAACGGGTGATTTCAAGTCGATCGTGATATCAGCTAAATAGATAAGCTAATAGATTTCAAGTTTAAGCCTTTAAAACAAAAAAAACAAAATAAAAAACAAAATTTACCTCTAGCAACAATGGGTTTGCCTTTACAAGTAATGTACTCGCCTGTGAGGTCGTCTAAAAAATTGTTTTGAAATTTTGTGGATTAAAAATGGTGGCCGTATTATGTCTATTAAATTTTAGAAACTTACAGAACGCTGTCCCATCACAAAGATCTCCTTCAGAAATAGGAAGTTTGCGATTGAAAGAAAAAGTGATATTTTTAATCGGGACAGTGATTTTTTGCTTCTCGAGAGCCACCAGGAACTAAAGAAAAGTTAAGCTAACTAGTTAGTTAGTTAGTAATTTGAAAGGGCAGACAAAGTCGACCTCAGAGCTGGTGATAAGCCAGCTCTGAAGTGATAAGCCAAAAGCCAATTCAAGCTCAAGCTCAAGTCAATTCAAGCTCAAGAAAGATAGCTGGCTAAAGTAAATCAGAAAGATGGCTAGTCATTTCTAATTGCTCAATTGAATGACTAGCATTTACTGTATTAGTTCTGTCGAAAAGATAAACGCCATGTTATTAGAGGACTTTTGGAAAGTTTGGCATTTGGTTTGTTGCAGAAGAGCGCAAACGCAGAAGAACGGAAACGCTCAAAAATTATCGTTAAACCTAAGCGTATCGACAGTAGACCTACTTAACGAGCCCGGGCAAAATTTTCATACAGTCTGTCTCGCTCTTTGATTTTTTTACTGCCCAAAGCTCCTTCGAGCATGAAACTCAGTTTCCCCGCAAGCCTTTATTTTAGGCTTCATTTCGATACTAAACATGGCTAGGTTCTGTTTTGTCATTCTTTAGATTTCGATCATTTTAGATAAATTTTTCTGGACTCGTTAAGCTTATCAAGTGTGGAACCCTTATCGAGTCCGGCGAAAGATTGATCGAAATCTAAAGAATGGCAAAACATAACCTAGTCATGTTTAGTATCAAAATCAAGCCTAAAATAAAGGCTTGCGGGTGAACTGGGTTTCATGCTCGAAGGAGCTTTGGGCAGTAAAAAAAATCGAAGAGCGAGGCAGACTGTCTGAAAATTTTGCTCGCATAACTTTTTTGACGCTAAAAGTCTTTTTTATTAGCGGTTTTGGCGGCTAGTTATTGCCCAAACTCAAACATTAAATAACGCTGATGCCAAGCCAAAATAAAAATTTTGTCAAAATTTCTTTCAGAAAACTATTTCAAGGCGTTGCTAAAAGCACCATCGGCCGAAAGCTTTAGCTCCCAAAACTTGGCAACTGTCTAAAGCTGTGGCCTAAGGCTTCTCTAAATTCTTCTTTTAAAACGTTGCTAAATTTGTATAAAGCCGCCTACCGCGTTTCTAAGTTTTTCCACCGATTGCGGCATGTCTACCTCTTCTTTAAATCTCTTGACTACATTGTGCTAAAAAAAGCTAAAACTACTGAAAATCTATAGGGTACCTAGCATAAAACATCTTTGTAAGGTACGAAAAATGCTTTTCACCCAACCTTCTCACCCACTAAACTCGAAAAAAATTTCTGTCTAATAGCTGTCTAATATTTAGAGAGCATTTCCTGTTATCAAATAAGTTTCTCTCTACGTTAAAAAGTATCAAATTGCATTAGCAAAAAGAATTAGACAGTTTAACCCATTGATGAGACTCTAAAGTACGAGTTCGGGTAATCCTGCCGTACCCTGGTGCTTGCCTAACTTGTTGCCCCTATGTGCATCCTAAAAAATAAACTCTTCGGTAGATTTTTAGATGGAACTTACAGATGAATCTATTGCTGATTTGATATTGTTAATTGTTTCTTCTTTAGGATCAGGCTGTAAATGAACTCGAGTGTTGCTAAAGTCCCAAACACAAACCCCAGGTGTCGACTCTTCGGTTGGGTCCATTGTTGTTGTATCTTTGGTTGGATCCATTGTTGTTGAAGCTTTGGTTGGATTCATTGTTGTTGTATCTTTGGTTGGGTCCATTGTTGTTGTATCTTTGGTTGGGTCCATTGTTGTTGAGTCTTCGGTTGTGCTTCCAACACCCAATTCTCTTGCAATTCGGTGCCTTTCCTCATTCCGCAATCTAGCTACATTTCCTGGGTACGAGAAGCTATTGGTTTTTGGTTTTATCAACAAAATAGCGAGGCCTTCTGCGACGGCGGCTGAATTTAGTAATGAGATTTGGTCATTTGTAATTGTCAAAAAGCTGTTAGTTGTCAGAAAGCTTGAAACATTTATTTCTTAATCATTTCTTGCTAAATTTACTAAAATGGCTTCAAACCTGGCTTCGAAACTAAAATGGCTTCAAACCTGATGGTGTTTTCTTTGTTGTTTTGGTTTTGGTTTTGGTTTTTATGGCGGGTGCGGGTAGGCAACAATCCACAAGGCATAAAGCAACAGAAAGCAATATCAACTTCGATGATATCATTGTAATTTTGAAAGTTTGGAGAAACTTGTAGCCGCAAAACGTTTTGAGAACTCCAGATACTGGAAAAAGTCTTGAATCTCCTTTTTATATGCAAAAAAGTGTTGAATCTCCTTTTTATATGCAAAAAAAGTCTTGAAAAACCCCCTTTTTTGTGGGATTTTATTGCCGTTCGCAGACGAAAAGCTGAATTGGGCTTTGTTGAGTTGTGAAAAAAAGCGTTCACACATTCGACATGCATTTCTATTCGAATCGTCACCTTGGTTTTTTGCGATCTTTTTTGTGATCAATGTTTTTTGTGCTGTCCTTTCACACAATTGAACCCTGCAATCACAAAAAAAAATGTTTCCAAAAATGTTACAAAAAAAGAAACAATAAACTTTCAACTTCAACAAATGAACTTTCAACGGATTGCGTAAAATAACCTCTGGTTTCGGGGATTCTTTTTCGAGCTGAAAGTTTTAGATTTGTATTTAGATTTGTATCAGTGATACTATGAGACTATGGGATTAAATCCCCGCCATTCCCCAATGGGAATAAACCCTCGGCAAAATTTTTCCATTTAAAAACTTTTCCATTTAAAAACATTAGCATTTAAAAGTATAAGCCATTGTGGCGCTTAAACAGTAGTTGAAATTGAGTAAACATTGTGATGGTTACCGAAAAGCAGATCGATGCGATGGTTACCGAAAAGCAGATCAATGGCAACCGCTAAAATCTTTCAAAGTGCACTTTTAAGTTCAAATTTAACTTAAAAGTCAAAGCTAACTTTGGATTTGGCTTGGTTTTAGGCTGGAAAGCATGGTTTTGCCTGGTTTTGCCTGGTTTTGCCTGGTTTTACCTTGGCTCTTGGTTCATTTCTGGGGAAAACCACCCTCTTAAAAGCTTGCCTTAAAGAATCAAATGTTTCATTGAGTCACAAAGAAAAGAGAGGAATAACTTGAAGGTCTCGAATCGGCCCCGAATCGGCATCAACGATGCTCAAATTTTTCCACCAATTTTTGCCTATAGTTTGGCTGTATTTTTGATACAAATTCTACATCCTGTCAAACCATTCGTCACATAAACAGTAGTTGAATTGAGTAAACATTGGTTACCGATGGTTACCGGAAAAGATGGTTAACGATGGTTAACGATTAAACAAACGATGATTACTGAAAAGCAGATCGAGTCTGGGATCAATGTCAGCCGCTAAAATCTTTCAAATTCCACTTTTAAGTTCAAATTTAACTTAAAAGTCAAAGCTAACTTTGGATTTGGCTTGGTTTTAGGCTGGAAAACATGGTTTTGCTTGGTTTTGCCTTGGCTCTTGGTTCAGTTCTGGTGAAAGCCGGCCTTTTAGAATCTTGCCTTGGCTCTTGGTTCAGTTCTGGTGAAAGCCAGCCTTTTAGAATCTTGCCTTGGCTCTTGGTTCAGTTCTGGTGAAAGCCAGCCTTTTAGAATCTTGCCTTGGCTCTTGGTTCAGTTCTGGGGAAAGCCAGCCTCTTAAAAGCTTGCCTAAACTCTTTCAGTCTGAATCCTTCTTTTCTGTTGCTGAAGGTGTAAGGTGAAGTGACTGAGACAAACAATATCCTTTTCAGTAAGCAAAATGATATTCTATAGCTATTATTGGTTGCTGTTTATCTCTTCGCAAAACCCATGCTCAGTGATCAACGCTAAACGGAACCCTTTCGCATAGGAGAGATTCGAAAAGTGAAAATCTTTCTTATCTCTTCATCCACCATTACCCCAATTATTCATTTCTCTGATTCAATCAAAATCAAAGCATTTATTCCCCTCAATTTACTATTATCTTATTTAAAATTATCTAAAGATCTCTAAAGATCTCTCAAGACGAAAGTCTAAAGGATACTATTTCAAATGTCTCTTTTCTTCAGCTTCTCCATCATTTTCCCGATTATTTTACTTTCAACAGCTAACCCTATAATTGAGATGAAGGAGCAAAAGGAATACAGAAGTAATTCAGAAGTATTTTTCGAAAAACTTAACGTCTATCTTAAATCTATCTTAAATCTAATCTAAAACGAATGTTTCTGGAAGATTTCAAGGTCTGGAAGATGTCTATTTTAAGTTTATCTCTTTTAGGTTTGTCTATTTTAAGTTTGTCTGTTTTAGGTTTGTCTCTTTTAGGTTTGTCTACTTTAAGTTTATCTATTGTCTGCAAGTCTATTTTAAGCTTTAAATCTTTTCCAATTAAAATAAACAATTAAAATTGATATTGGACACTCGTTCTGGAGGTTTTTGAAGAATGCTTTTTCGATAAATGACTGCTGACTCTGATACGAGAGAGTTTCTATTCAATAAGTTCAAATAGAGTCTATATTCTTAGCCTAAACGCCTTGAAAATGATTTTCGAACGTTTTAAGCATAAAGATAAATATTAAAAGTTGATAAATTTTTGTTTAAGATTGCTCTAAACATCACTTATGACTCAAAAATTAAAAGTTGATTAATTTTTGTAGTATGCCGTCAACCAATTGACTTTAAACTCAAAAGACAAACCATATAAGCTATGATAAGCTATGGGCTCCTTATTAGTTTAAAGGATAATTTTGATTAAAGTTTTCCTTTTAAAAAGTTTAACTTTCCTCAGTCATTTTAAGATCAAGTTTTAGTAAAAAAAGTTGGAAATTTTGGATTAGACTTGAGCACTACAAACTACAAACGCTTCTAACTTGCTTCAAATCTACTGGATTGACATGATCTATAGCTTAAAAAATAGAGAATCTCAAGAGCTTTGGTCCATTCGAAAGCTCTTGAGATTCAATGTTAAGTAGACATGGAGACTACAAACTATAAACGTAAACTACAAACGCTTCTAACTGACTTTAAATCTACTTGATTGACATGATCTATAACTCAAAAAATAGAGAATCTCAAGAGCTTTCGAAGCGACTAAAGCAAAAAAAGAAATGACTGTTTAAAGTACACCCAAAATCTCAAGCTAAAGAGTTACAGTGGTTTGTAGGTCCTGCCTCGAAACGGACCGTACTCGTGCGAGTCGAAGCGATCGAGCAGGACTATAAGCCACGTCACCCTTTAGATTTTGAGATTTTGGGTGTACTTAAACATTTATTTGCTTAACATTGACACGGCACTAAAATAAAAATACGAACTGTCACACTACAAACGCTTCTAACTTGCTTCAAATCTATCTGATTGACACGATCTATGCTCAAGAGATGAGCTCAAGAGCTTTCGAAGCGACTAAAGCAAAATAAAAAATCTCAATGCTAAAGAAAGTTACAGTGGTTTATAGCGTGACTCGAAGTTTGTAGTTTGTAGTCAAAGCGATCGAGTCAAGAACTATAGACCACTGTAACTTTCTTTAGCATAGATATTTTTGAGTATGCTTTAGTCGAATCGAAAGCCCTTGAGATTCTTTATTTTTTGAGCTATAGATCATGTCAATTCGGTCGATTTAAAGCAAGTTAGAATAGTTTTTAGCTTACGTTTGTAGTTTGCTTTTGTAGTTTATAGTGCGTAGATTAGGCTACAAACCCTAGAGGCTTTCCCTGGGAACATCTATAGCCTAAATATCAGCCTAAAGTTTGCGAAAACTCGGCGCTCCTCAAAGTAATCAATTACGTGAACCTGTTTCTTTTGTACTTTTGTACAAATTTTTAGGTGTACTTTAGCTCATTCGAAAGCTCTTGAGCTTCTCTATTTCTTGAGCTATAGCTCATGTTAATCAGGTAGATTTGAAGCAAGTTAGAATCGTTTTCAGTGTGACAGTTCGTCATTTCTGTTGTTTGTAGTGCGCATTTCTATTTTCGGATGAATATAACTTCAGAGGAGCTCGAGATTCTGATGGGTTGTAAGCCGGGTGTTTTCGGGAAATCATGTGATCGATGTTTGCCGGGTTATCATCGTTTGGGACCGGATGGATGCACGTGAGAAAGCTTTAGCAAAATTTTATCACAAACATTTTCAATAACAAAAGAATCAACAAATCTAGTCTTCTTTTTTTAGTCAATTTAACAAGTTCAACAAGCAAGTAACAAGTTTTTTGTAAACAAAATGATTGAAGACTTAGTTTAGGTTAATGTAATGAGAAACTCTATAACTTTATCGTTGTTTTACGAAAGAAGAAGAAGAAGAAGAAGAAGAAGAAGAAGGAGAAGAAGAAGAAGAAGAAGAAGAAGAAGAAGAAGAAGAAGCTTGAAAGAAAGAAAGAAAGAAGGAAGGAGAGAAGGAAAGAAAGATAGAAAGATAGAAAGATAGAAAGATAGAAAGATAGAAAGATAGAAAGATAGAAGGAAAGAAAGATAGAAAGATAGAAAGAAAGATAGAAAGATAGAAAGATAGATAAGCTAGAAAGATAGAAAGAAAACTCAGAGCTTCTTTCAGAAAGAAGTTCGAAGAAGTGTTCGATGAGGAGAAATGGCAGCTCTTTGCCGAGAATTTCATCAAATTTTTCGAAAATCCGAAAGCTAAATAAATATTTTTTATGAAAATTTATTGTAAAAAAATGAAATTTACATTTATTTATATGAAAATTAAAGAGAAATTTTACATTTTATTTACAAATTCGTTTCATTCAGAAAATCCTATCCTTTCTATTTATTTGATTTCATCCAAAATGAATTAAGGATAAAGAAAAGGAAAAGTTTTTGATGTTTCTGGAAAAAATAACTGAAGAAATTTATTTCTTCAGTTATTTTTCAAGAAATTTACTGAGATATTTCTCTAATAGTAATGCTTTCTCTAATAGTAAGCGCCGTACTTTCTCTAATAGTAATGCACTCCGGTGAGCCGAGTTGGTGACTATTTTACGGTTTCCAAGCTTTTGCAGAAGCTCAATACTCAAATCCCCCAGTAGATCTTGTCGGCAGCTACATTTTCCGACCCCACATCGATAGGTTCTGATAAGCGGTTCTCGAGATTTCGAGGAATTTAGGTAAGGCTCAAGATGATTAGACTAGACGCTCGACGCTCGACGCGACTATTAGAGAAAATACGGTATTCTGTATTTTCTCTAATTGTAGTGCCCTCCTTTCCCCGACCTCTCCTCCTCCCCCCGGTGAGCCGAGTTAATGACCATTTTACGGCTTCCAAAGCTTCCCCAGAAGCTCAACACTCAAATCCCCCACTAGATCTCATCGTCAGCTACATTTTCCGACCCCACATCGATAGGTTCTGATAAGCGGTTCTCGAGATTTCGAGGAATTTAGGCAAAGCTCCTGAGCCTACTATTAGAGAAAATACGGTAGTAGAATTCAAAACTTACCATTGATCAAGTATAGAGCCACTCCATTTGTGGCATCGAGTGTACCAAGTGCAGTAAGTACCAAGAGCATGCCATGGATCGAGTGATCCATTCGAGAGTACGATATTTGTTGCCTGAATTGTTTAAACGTTAGCTTTACCATCCTTTGTCTTTCTGGTGCATTCTTGTGCATTTACTTCAATACTTTGATATTAAAGTGTTCAAAATAAGTACACCAGATAGGATGGGGTTGCGTGGGTGTGTGTGCACCAGAGAGACAAAGAAGGATGTTCTTTGTCTTTCTGGTGCATCTTTCTTGTGCACTAGAGAAAATAGAGAAATTCCTTAGAGAAAATACGGTATTTGGTCTTTTCTAAACTAAAAGAAAAGTCTTTTGATGGTTTTTTTATGCAAAAAAACTTTGAAGCCACCTTTTTAGTCATCTTTTGGCTTTCAATTTCGACTTTCAATTTAGAACTTTCGATTTACAAACGTTTTTGTTAATATTTAACTAGTTAACCAGTTAACATTGTTAGTTAAACGATGGTTAAACGACTTTTTTTGTTCTAAAGCCCTAACAATGAGACAAAAGAGTAACAAAAGGGTAACTAGACCTCGTTAGGCTAACTTTCTTTGTCTTTCTTTGGATCAAAAGAGATCAAAAGTTTGTCTTTCCCCAAATTGTGGCTATTTCAAGGCGTGCTTTTTTTAGAGGCAAAAGAAAGTGCAAAAAGGTAGTTCCTGCAAAAATTTCGGCCTAGATCTGCAGTTTTCAAAAGCTCAGTGCAAGAAAAGTCAAGTTTCACCTAGTCAGACACTTTTGCATGAAATTTTTGAACCATCATGGTCACCACCACCAGATGGGCCACCACCAGATGGGCCACCACCAGATGGGCCACCACCAGATGGGCCACCACCAGATGGGCCACCACCAGATGGGCCACCACCAGATGGGCCACCACCAGATGGGCCACCACCAGATGGGCCACCACCAGATGGGCCACCACCAGATGGGCCACCACCAGATGGGCCACCACCAGATGGGCCACCACCAGATGGGCCACCACCAGATGGGCCACCACCAAATGAAAGAGTGCAATTTTTGGCCTACTCAACGAGTTCTTTCATTTTTTATGTTCTTGAAAACATACAGTGTGAAAAAAATTTGGTGGTGGTGGTGGTCTATTTGGTGGTGGACCATTTGGTGGTGGTCCATTTGGTGGAATCAAATAGACTTCAGACTTGTAATTGGAATTGGTAATTGGAAATTGTAAGTTAAAGTTGCTAATTGCTAATCAAAGCTGTTAATCAAAGCTGTTAATCAAAGCTGCTAAGCAAGGCTGTTAATTGTAAACTAAAATATTTCTAGCTCACTAGAAAGGTTCTGTTTTCAATTGGTTCTATTTTCAATTCTCGAGCAGAAAGTCGATCCTTTAAGCAAGTCTATGAAAACGGAGACAATGATAATGATTCTTACTAGAGAAAGGCAAGGACTTGTTGTGGCTTTTTGGAAAGACACCAAACTAATCTTATAGAATTAAAAGATCTTAGAATTAAAAGATATCTACTTATTGCAAAGTTAAAATAGAGCCAATCGAGCAGTTAAACATCAAAATAAAATGAAAAGAAAAGGAAGGGATCGACAAAATCAAGTTTGGAGATCAAGAAGGTATCCCAACCCGAGCAAAAACTCCGGAAACAAGACTCTTATCCACTAGACCACAAGCTCACAGGGACAGAAACCTTCTATAGCCTCGAGACAGTGAAAGAAGCCTTGGATGGGAACTGATTTTTAACCTCTAATTTGACCACAAATTTGTTTGCCAGATTCCTAGCGTTTCCGAATCCCTTTACAGAAACGGATAGCAGCATCAGAATCAGGGAAAAATTCTGCATCGTATGGTATATGGAAGAAGTGAAAGAAGACTGACAAAAGAAGAATAGGGACTGATTTTTGACCTCTAATTTGACCTCAAACTTGTTTTGACTTCTAATTTGACCTTAAAGGTTAGCTTGATTTGTAAGTGCTTAGAGGTTAGCTATACTCAATTTTTGAGTGTGCACAAAAACTAGGCCTAGATTCAAAACACTTCACAACCAGATTTCTCTAGCTGTGCAAGATAAAAATAACTTTAAAAAAAGAACACTTTACTATCTCGCAATACACCTTTTTTTTTTGGTTAGAGACCCAAAGGATTGGTGTGGAAATTCCCTGCTCTTTCTATAGCGCCTTCCTTCTCATCGTCAGCTTTCCCGCTTCTCCGTCTTTCTCCCCAAACTTCATTTGCTTCGGTTTCCTCCTTTTCTTTTCTCTTTTCTCTCTTTCCTTTTCTTTTCTCTCTTTCCTTTTCTCTTTCCTTTTCTCTTTTCCTTTCTCTCTTTCCTTTTCTTTTCCTATCATTCGTCTTTTCTTTACATTGCAAAGAAGCGATCTTCTTTAAAAGAAGCTCTTCTTTAAAAGAAGAAGATCTTCTTTTAAAGAAGATCTTCTTCTTTTAAAGAAGATCTTCTTCTTTTAAAGAAGATCTCCTTTAAAGAAAGAATTCATTCACATCTCTTCCTTGTACTTTATGGAGAAATCCGTCGACATGTCAAATTGCCATAGTTTACATGAGAATCCCATTTAACGGGGACGGAAATTTTTTTTTGCTTTAGATTTTCTCAGCTTTTGTTCTTAGAAACTAAAGTCTTTTTGAGCTTTGAGCTTTGAGCTGATACTGATTTTTAATATTAAATTAGTTTAATATTAAATTAGTTTAATATTAAATTAGTTTAATATTAAATTAGTTTAAAGTGAAATTAGTTTAAAGTGAAATTAGGAATTCAAAGGATTTCTCTGAAGAATAGCTTTTTCTATTTCTCATCTTTAAGATTATTTTTAAAATCTCCTCTCATTTTCTTTGATTGCTTCTTTTTTAAATAAAAGAGAATTTTGAAATGGCTTTAGAAAGAAGTATTCAAATGTTAAAAGCAAAATTCTTTTGTCTTTATTGAGAATGATTGAGAGTCATTGAGCTTTTTGTTACTTTTTCATTTCATTACTGATTTGTTTAAACTCCAGAAGTTGTCAGCTGTGTACAATGGAATTTTTGGTTTAAAGCGTTTTCTAAAAGATTAGTGTTTAAGGTTATATCCAAATCAAGCTTATACCCAAATTTTCAGAACGATTCAAAAAACTGGTTTTGAAGAAATGCCAAATTTACGAATTTTCACAAAACTTGCATTTCAAGCGAAACTACTAAGTGTATCTTTTTGGAAATTTGGCTATAAGGCTAATTTTTGATTCTCTACAACTTTTCTATTGACACCAAAATGGGTTCTTTTGAAGAGTGCTCAAACCTCTAACGGACATCTCCAGCCCTCCAAGCCACGCCACACACAAACCAAAATCAAACCAAACCAACCTACACGAAAGAGGAACCCAAACCTGAAGAAGAAAACCCCCAAGTCAAAGACCTCCCCCCGACAACGCGCGCCCTCGTGTGCAAAACCCGCTCTAAAATAAACAGCTTGGTTTGGAACTTGCGCATTCCCCAACAGCCGACCTCCCTACCACAAAAGATACACTATATTCGCAAAATGCAATTGACTAAACATCTTTAAACCATTTTGAATCAAAGTTTGATATAATTTTTGATTCTCTACAACTTTTCTATTGACACCAAAATGGGTTTCTTTTGAAGAAAGTGCTCAAACTCTCTAACGGACATCTCCAGTCCTCCATTTTTGAGTCTCACACTTGTCTCACACACAAACCAATCCTACTACGAAAGAGGAATCCGCAAATTGCCTGTAAAATGGGCAGAAGTCGTCAATAATAATGGAAATTATTTGGAATGAATTCATGGTTTTATATTGGATAAATTTTAGTTCAAAGTCCCGCAGTTTTCAATTGACCAACCCAATAAATTGAAACAAAAATGAAGGGAAACTCAGTTGATTCTCTGATTTTTGAGGTGCATTTAAACCTTTTGAAACTTTTCGATATCTAGAAATAGATAGAAAGATTTTCTAGGATTTGATATCTAGAATTTGATATCTTTTTGATATCTAGAAGTATCTACAAGTATTTCCTGCAGCCAATCCCCTTTCCACTCCCAACCTTCCCCACTCCCAACCTTCCCCACTTCCAACTTTTGCCTTCCGAAAAAGACAAAGCCATGTCATCAATCCGCATCTTTCCCTTCCTTTTCATACCTTTGCTCCCTCCAAATCATTCAACCAAGCACAAGTTTCCTTTTTTTCATTTTAAAACTGAATTTTAAAATATCCCTCCCTTTCGTCAGACATCTTTTTCAAAAACCCTGGCCACAAAGTTCAACTTTAGCTCAAAATCAGGAATTTTTCACTTTTTCACTTTTTCACTCAAGAAAGTCACGCGTTTTCGATTTTTCTTCGAAAATTTCTCAGTTTCGTAAAGTTTTTTGATTTGAGATATTGAAAAAAGTTTGAGATTCTATTCGATTTCGATTGAATAGTAGTGCTTAGCTATTTGCTATGTAATGCTTAGTTCGATATCTGATTCAAGACTCGTTGTTTCCCCTTCTTCTCTTATTCCAAATTATGAGACTAGACTTATAGTTTTGATTTAAAACCCCTTTTATCGCCGTATTTACTTTGATCTTATTTTTTGCTATAAAATCCTTTTCCACCCTAAGTCACATCCAGAATTTCAAAGCCTCTTGAAAATTGTAGAAATTTATAGAAATTCACGGAGTGATCCTTATCAAATTTCGGTCGGTTCTCATCCCCATCATCGTTGCCTTTATCATTCTTTTGCGAACCGTATTAGTAGGGTTTGGAATAAGTATTAGTATTGGAAGCGTTTGGAATAAGCTCCCGTCTGGTATCTTCTCGTCTGTAGGAAAATTGAAAGTATCTGTGAACGAATTAGATCTTATTGCCATGTCAAATCTGCCCTATATTTAATCTTTTTGTATCTGTGTTTCCTAACTGTACTCTTACTGTACTATCTTTAGTTTTCTCTCTTTTTTCGGTGAGAGTATTGTAGCAATATGATTATCAGTTATGATTATCTGATTCGCTTCTATTCGCCCCATGAATAAAGCATATATATTTTCTTTTTTCATTATCGATTAGATTTTGATTTTAAAAAACATTGTGCTCGAATTTTTGTTCCTCTGATGATTTTCTTCTGTTCATTGACCACTAAAAAGATTTGGTGACTTTTAAAGGAAAGCTTTTCGAGTCGAGAAGAAAGAAGGAAAGAAATTTTGAGTCGATTCCTGAGACTTCAAAAACGATTTGGAGATTTTATTTAAAAATCTATCTTTAGAAAGACTTAGATTTGCGATGAAGAAAGCTTTAAATTGCATTTTTAGTTATTTAATTTTGAATTATCTCGACAGTTTATCAAATTAGACGATTTTGGTTTATCAATTAGACGATGAATTAGTTAATTAGTTAATTAATTAGTTAATTCCATTCATTCATTCATTAATTCATTAATTAATTAAGAGGATTATCAATTAGTTTCTGTTAAAGATATCTCACAATCAGGCTTTGAGGCTTTGTTAGTCGGCTATCGGACATTTGATACGCGCCCCGCTCCTTTGCCATTGGCAATCTAACTTTGAACTCAAATATCTTGACGTCGCGTTGTCGAATTTATATATTCTTGCTGTCATTAGATGCGCCAAGTCGTTCTCTATCGATTGATATAAAAACTATTTAAATTAAACACCCCAACACCAAGAAATTTGGGCTTAAAGTTAAATTGCCTATGACAAAGGGGCAGGGCGCGTATAAAAGGTCTTTCTGGCCCCGCCCCTTTTGCCAATGTAACTTTGAGCTCAAATTCCTTGGTGTTGTGCTGTTTAATTTAAATAGTTTTTATACCAATCGATAGAGAAAGTCTTGGTGCATCTAATGATACCAGGAATATGGAAATTCGACAACGCGACCTCAAGATATTTGAGCTCAAAGTTAGACTACCATTGGCAAAAGGGGCGGAGCAATTATGCGACTTTTTATACGCGCCCCGCCCCCTTTGCCGCCCCGCCCCTTTTGCCATTAGCAATCTAACTTTAAGCTCAAATTCCTTGGTGTTGCGCTGTTTTATTTAAACAATTTTTATATCAATCGATAGAGAAAGTCTTGGCGCATCTAATGATACCAAGAACATTGCTGAAAAATGGCTTTGAAGTCCCTACTTTTTACTATTTTAGCTCAAGATAGACCAAAGGCCAAATCTAGTACCTGATTGAGATATTGGTTTTGAAGCAAGATCACATTTAAACTTTAAGCATGTACACCAAAAGAAGTTCTAGTTCCAAAGCAAGCTCTAGTTCCAAAACAAGCTCTAGTTCCAAAGCAAGTTCTAGTTCCAAAGCAAGCTCTAGTTCCAAAGCAAG